AGAACAGATTAACTGTATTTACATTGAACCTTATGGGAAAATCTGATTCGGGTCGCGGAACGAATTAAGTTCGTGACCCGAGGTACCACTGTAAAGGTTTTTTCAGCTTTTGTTCTCTTAGGAATTCCTGGAAATATACAATTGATGAGGGGGGGATTAATGTTTGCATGCACCTGTATTTCTTCATTACTTTGAGACTCATTAAGTACTGAAAACATGTAATTTAAATATAACCTTTTTATCTTTTTCTCCTGTTCTTTCTGAAATGTGTCTTTTCGATTTTAAGTCTGCTAACAGGAATCTTTTTATTGATAATAATTTTAGCTTCTTTGAAGACATCTTTTTGGCTGTCTTCAAAGACAGTGGAATAAAAATGTTTCAGATGTAGTGTTTTGGCTGTTAGCATATGCTTTTGTTATGACATTATTCAAAATATATTCCAAAATCAGAACTTAAACGTATCTTTTGAAACCTGATTTTGTTAATTTAAATTTACCTCTCAATACCCATAATGCTCCATCAAGGCTCCCACATTTGAGAAAGATTTCCACAGCAACATTAACAATATGACATCTTGAAGCCAACTGCTCTTGTCCAAGAAATCCTTTAAAAAATGTGAAGTGTATCTTTAAAGCGTGAAGCACATCCAGAACCTTCTTGGCCTAACATAAAAAAAGGAGAAATTAGGAATGAATATTACTAACAATTTCATGCTTCCTAATATTGGTTCACATGTAGTTTGATTAGTGCCTTCATTTCAGAAACAGTAATGGTACTGGCATTTGAAAATAATGGTTTTGAAGTTATCAGTGTATTCAAATCCCAACTCAACTCTCTACCACTGGAAATTCTCTTTGGGCTATAAATTTATTCAAGATTATGACTTGATATGCCAGAATCGCACCATGTTCTCTGCCCTCCAGGGTAGGGGCACAAAAAGATAGATATTATATGAGTGCTTCAGCTTCACTGAATTGGACTTTTAAAAATTGATATTCTAGTTATTCAATAATAATTTGGTTCAGAAGACTCTCTCCTGTATCTTGACTTGAGCAATTAATTTGACTGGGATTTTTCCAAGTTAGAAAAAGTCATGTCTCAAGGGTAGAACATGCATCATATCAATATGCCTTTTAAACATCTAGGAAAATGTAGGCCTAGCCCTACTGCATAATCAATACGCCCTTCAACTGATCTCCAGTGCACATGACATACACAAAAGAGAGCACAGCACACTGTCTTTTTCCTCACCCCATCTACTTCCCAAGAAATGGATCCTTGAAAGAAATTGTGCACTGCAATTATGGATATATTTAGAACTCTCTTTTCTATGGGTTCTGCTCATAACAGGTTCATGAAACTAGAATTTTTAACGTTGGCAATATTGGTCCTTTAAGTATTTTTACATTATTCTAAAAATCTGATATTTCTGACACTGTTATTTCAGTAAGCAGAAAAAAACAGAATTTTGAAATACTATGTATTTAAAGTTTGAATTGTCAATTAAGGACAGACATTGTTAAACTTTCCCATCTTTTAATGTAACTATTCAAAATTGGGCCAAAATTCTAGTAACTAGAATCTAGCAATGTGGAAATTATTAATGTAATGTAACTTTTTGATTTATGTATTTATATCAGGGCAAAGTTAGGAAAACAGCATTCATTTCTTCATCCTCACATTCAAAATATATATATCTATGAGAAAGTATCCAAAGATTTCAAACACACACACACACATCCCATTGGCACGAACTGAGAGAAATGTTAAGTCTCTTAACTTTAAACTGTCTTGCCTAAATATCTCATTCTCACCTGCAGAAAGAAGAATTCTTGTCTTATTAACTCCCTCTACCATATACTTGAAAGAAGATCTGAAAAGTAATTTGTTTCCCACTCAACTGATGATCCCTCAGTTGATGGCTATTCAATAGGAAAACATATGTGGGGCTTACAAGGCATGTAGCGACATATAATATCTATGGCCCACCCCTCAAATTAACATTCCAGGTAATAATTAGCATTATGACTTTGTAAGTTACCTTTGACCACTGGTGTATTTTGTAATATGAAAACATGACACTAATACCAATCCTTCCTAATGAAGTCATGTCTCCTTCATCGCGATGAGCATCAGCATTAACTAAAAAATTAATAAGAGTTATTTTATGTTTAGTAGCATTATGTTTTTAAATGGAGCAAAGGAAATATCATTTTTGAAACAAGTTACATATAAATAAGATATGGGGAACATGTAATGTATGAAATCTTAATTGAGTTTTCCTCAAGTAGAAAATTATTATTTATTCCATTTTTTTCTTGGAGCACTCAAAGTGGAATACATGGAGATCTCTCTTAATTTCATCCTCATGATCCTGTGAAGTCAGCTGGGTGTACCCAGAAGAGAAAATATGCTTTCTTTTGATGAGGAAGAAAAAACAAAAACAAAACAGCAAACAGCACATTCTGGAAGTTCTGCCAAACAATTTTGGACTGTCCATGGCTTTGGAGAAATAAAACCCTGAACATTTTGATTGCTCCAAGTTTCAACCAAAACACATCCAGAGGAATTCTGAATTTACTTTATGGGGTGAGTATAGCAAGGCTGGTGTACATTGCACCACTCTTGCCTTTTTATTCACACTGCTTGCTCATTTCCTAACGTTTTCCCTTCTCACTTTGCCCTCAACTGCCCCCACTGCCAATGGTATATCTCATTGGCTTTCCTGGTCCTGATCTTCCTAGTGCTTTCTCTTCCCTCCCCTGCCTATCTGCACATACCACTGTCAGGGAAAGCCTTCAACTTTGCTTTTTTCCCCTCCACTCTTACTCCTCTCCTGAACCATCCTGGAACCACTGGGCACAGAAAGCTACTGGCAATCAGTGCAATGACTGGCGTGTTAGTGGTGCGCTACAATAGCAACCCTCCCTTGTTAGCATTGGCTGCTGCATTCTGTGGCTGCTGTTTTCTGCAGCAGCAGCAGCTATAGCTTCCAAGTCATTTTCAAATATAGCCCTACCCTGTTGCCCTAAATGTATTTATCATGCAGCATGGTAGCATAAATGCTGATGACAAGAACATGTTACCTTTGCCAGGGCTTTTTTTTTTTATCCACAAAGGGCAGCAACTGGTACACTAGTCTAAGTTGGGTCTCCACCTGCTATTCTAGCAGGAGCCACAGGTCCAGTAGAACCGCCAGGTCACAGACCCACTCCTATAGGGAAAGTATGACTCCATCCAAACCAATCATCAAAAATGAACAGAAGCCAATGTTTCTGGACAATCAGTAACTCTCGTTAGGATTCAATCTGAGTTTATTTCAACCCATCCAACTTCTCATAAGGGCACTGGGTTAAGACTGCCACAGTATATCTGTATAATGTATCGTTTGTACTGTATATGTATAATTCATACTGATAGAGGACTCCAAAATGACTTCTCCCAGCAGTTTCATGCAGATGTTAAAGAGAAAACACCTGTGGCAACCCACATTGGAACAAAATGGGCATGACTGCTCCCTCCCCACAACTATTAACTGGAACTGCATACTTAGGAAGAAGCAGAACTCCCTTAGAAAGGTGTCCTACTTCAATGTAGGTGGTCCAAAAGGATACCATAGTTGTTGGTATAAAAAAAATCAACAACACTGGGAGGTCTAAAAGACCAGGAGGATCACATTCTCTTCATCCAGTTCCCAAAAAAGTTACTCATCAATGACCAATGTTTGTATATTATGCCCAAGTCTGAACCTTGACTGGAAATGATCTACGTAATTCATCTACCTGACACCCCAGAATCTTCTCCAAAATACCTTTCATTTGGATTAGCAACAGAAAGCCCACCAGATCACCTTGTAAAGCTGGGTAGTAAAGGATCTGCAATGCACTAGGAGAACACATTCTCATCACATTGCATTCCATGGCATTGTAGCTAATCAGCCTTCAAGCAAAAGGTTGTAAACACCCTGGATCCAGATTAAGGAAAGTTCCTTGGGGTAGGTTTGTGAAAAATGGAAAATGTAGTGGAGGACTGATAGGTAACTATTTCAGAGTTGAAAATACAGGTTCTTCCGGGCCAAAAGAGAGCCAAGATTACTTCTGCAAGTTCCCAAAGAACCTTGTGTATTACTCTAGCAATCAAATTGCTACAAAGAATTTGAGGCCAAATAATAATCAAAGCTACCAGTACTTCTGCCCTCTACAATGGAAATCAAGAAATACTAGACCTTGGAACTGATGGGAAAAGAGGGCAGATCAATTTTTAATCTGCTGAAATGCTCCACATATTTGAAAGTTATCACATGTATGGTCCACTCCTTCAGATCAAAAACCATCAGGTTTAGCCAGTCCACCTTTGAACTGTGTAGCTTCAAAATGTACCATAAAAATGAAAGGAGGTGCTACTACACTTGAAAAAAGTCTGGTGGTCTCCCTCATGAGGAAACAGAGCTTCACACCCTTCTGGCACAGATGATGTGCTTAAGTTGTTTGGTTGACTATAACAATAAGTTTGTGGTAATTCCAGATCAGAGCTTGAAACCTGAAAATTGCTAGCTTCATTGCTACAATTTCAAGCAGCTGATTTGTATTTGATCCAGATATACTCCATAAACCCTGAGCCACCTTATCCATGCAGTAAATCACATCCAAACTTTTCAATTTGCATTTGTTATCACACCACATGAAGAGAGTTTCACATAGGGTTTCCCTTCTTCAATGCTGATGACAATTATCAGTATACAGACGTAATACCACAAGGGAACTGACACTAAATTGTGGTGTTTTTAAGCATTCTAGTTGTTACAGAACCAATGCTTATTGTTGCTGCAGAGAACATGGAAGGACCAAATTGATAATGATACTCATTAGTCCTTATAGCTTAGCTAGTTCCATCATTGACAAAATTCTGTAGTGGTTCTTCCTGGTGTCTGCGTGAAAATCATATTTTTCTGGGAAGAGAAAGGTATTGGAGATAACAAAGTGTGTGCTTGTCCCAGGTTGACCAGCAATCTGGACACTGATAAACACTGGAGTTTCCTAAATACTGTTTGAACCCTGAACAAATCATATGTCTAAATAAGGATATATGTTAGGCAATGTTTTCTCAGTTCAGGTACCAATGCCATTGTAATCTTGGCAAGACACAATGACAAACCAAATAGGAGGCCTGCCTATACAGCATGTATTTTGGAGGTACTTCCTACGATTAGGTGAACTGGATCTTAGAGAAATCATCCATTTCTCTCAGGTCTTAGGATGCCATTACATCCCTTCTGAAGGTATTCCAGGATTCATTTCAGTATCTCCATGTGAAATCTGTGGTAGTGCACAAAGAAATTAACCCTCTTCAGTTCCAGTGCTGATCCCATTATTCTTCTTTGGAACTATAACATATATTGAGCAGGAGCCAAAAAACCTATTTACAGATTGCTCAAATGCTATGGAGATCCTGTGTCTTTGAGCATCAAATTATACTTTTCTAGATATAGACCTGGGAGACAAAACATAATGACTAGGAGGCATAAACACATAGATTCCCATATATCAAAATTGTGCTTAGGATTTACACATCTGTTATTTGCCTCTTAAGAGTGAGGAAAAACCTGCAGGCAACTGCCTACTGACTCCTGACTCCCTTGTGGAAGATTGTGAAGCAGGAGCCCTTGTCTGGCCTGTAGCCTTGTATTTCTCTCTTCCTCTCACAGAGCAAGTAGGGGTAAAAGGATAGTGAACCCCCATATCCCTTGCTTTCCTCTTCCTTGGTGGGTGCTGTTAGGACTTTCTCATTCTTGATTTCAAGGACATTTCTGAATGGTTTCCCCTCTTTGAGGATGCAAGTAATTAGCATAGCTTTGAATTTAAAATTGATTGCTTGAGCCCACAATGTGGCAATAAGGGGTGGCTTAGTGTTTGTACTTGTGTTGGTAGATTGTGACTCACCTGCCTTGTTTAGAGTTATCTGCTCTCTCTAGGGGAACAGTGACTAAGAGTAACTCCCTATGAGTTACTGTATGGGCTGGATCCATGTGTCACCTGACTCATTCAGGCAGCTGGTGGTAGCATGACTGGATATTTCTGGGAGATGGTCAATGCCTCTTTAGAAGCAGCAATGTTGTCAAATGCCTTGACATAGGTGGCGGTGCACCTCCAATCTGAAAAGACCCTCCCTGGAACCAGCCATGCTGGAGAATTACTGGACAGTCCCTAACCGCCCCTTTCTGGGGCAGGTTATCAAGTAAAATTGGGATGCAGCTGCAGAGCACCATAGAAAAAGCAGACTATCTCAATTCTTTCCAGTCATGGTTCAGCCCTGGATGTGGAATAAAAACTACACTGATCACTTAGACTGAGGACATTTGCTTGGACTTCAACCCTCCAATCCGTTTGGACTTCTTGGTGGCCCACATTACCGTCTATTGTGTTATTCTTTTGGGTTACTTGCAAGGGTTAGGAGGGGGGAGGCATTATACCACAATGGTTCTGCACTCTCCTGAGTGAGTGGTTCCAGTTGGTGGTAATGGAGGAAGAAAGGTCAACTTGATGGTTGTTCCCCTGCATGGTATGTCAGGGTTTGCTTGTCTGTCTGCCCTGCTTTTTAATATCATTATGAAGCTGTTGGGAGAGTTATCAATCAGTATGCTGATTATACCCACATACAGTCAGGTCCAGAAATATTGGGACATCGACACAATTCTAACATCTTTGGCT